CATTTCAATGGGGTCTCGGGTAACACGCCGAGCGGATGCTTCACCGGACACCCTGCCATCATCTGTGGCTTAAGCCAGAAGCTCTGCAGGGTCTAAGCAAGGAGCCATGGAGAGCAGCCAGTACAGAAGCACAGATTTCCAGTCTCACTCACATGTTCAAGCAGGCTACAGGGCATTCTTGTGTGACTGCATATTGGCAGAGGTTTTGCTTATGTGTTTGTTGGTTTGTGGTTTTTGTTTTGTTTTGTCTTCAACGGGCTCAACTAACCATGATGTAGACCTGCCAACACTGAGGACTTAGGGATGTCTTATTTCTAAGTACTGCAAAGGAGCCCCATGCATGTCTTCTTGGGTTTGCATGGGTTTTCTTAATAAAGAGTGCTGACTTTCCCTTCCATTTCTCAGTCCCCGTCTCAGGGATGCAACCATGAAACCAAATAGGAATACGTGGACACTCTGAAAGAGACAATAGCAACCGCACAGGATACAGCTGTTCAAATATATCAACACTAGTTAATAACATCAATGAATGGCCTCTCAAGTAATTCAGTAGACATCAAAAGAGGAAACAGGGATGGAAGATGGGGATACAGCTCAGTTTGGTAGAGTGCTTGCCTATGCTCGAAACCTTGGGTTTGATCCTGGACACCACATGAATGCAGCATGGTAGTGCATGCCTGTAGTCCCAGCACTTGGGAGGCAGAGAAACAGAAGTTCAAGGTCATCTTAGGATACACAGTGAGTTCAAGGCCAGTCTGGACTACACAAGACCATATATGTATATATACATATATGTGTGTGTATATATACAGTCTCACCTTACATAAATACATATACATACACATACACGACTGTCTCACTGTCAGCTGAATACGAATACTATCTACTTATGGTGCTAGGGATTGAACCAAGGCCATATGTACTATTTGGCTTCACATCCACTGTGCTTGTCATTCCCAGCTTGTGGTGTGTCAACAGTAGGGGAAGTTCTGGGCAGGCAGAGTATATCTGAGGTCCTTGTAGAGAGGGAACTTGAGCAGGACTTTGAGAGGTGGGCAGGTTTGTCTGTCCACTGCAATGGACTGGTCTACACGCTTTGGCAGAGAAGGGACTGACTTCATCATCAGATGCCAGACAGACCATTCACCCACCCACTGGTCCCTCCAGAAGATAGCACATCAGTGGTAGCTCTTTCCTAAAGCTATTGGCGTGTGTGTGTGTGTGTGTGTGTGTGTGTGTGTGTGTGTGTGCTGTGAACCACACCCCAGCCTTGAGCATGCTAAGCAAGGAGCTGCACATAAATTACTGCACCCCAAGCCTGGTGGCTCTCCTGCCTCAGCCTCCCAAGCGCTGAGACACACCATCACACCCAGTGAATCAGTTTACTGAGAGGCTCTTCTAGGCTGGAAATTAGGTATTGTCCCAGTTAGGTTTCTCTCTTGCAGTGATTAAAGCCATGACCAAGAGCAACTTGGGAGAAAGAAGGGTTTATTTCGCTTACACATCCCAGGTCATAGTTCATCACTGAAAAAAAAGTCAGGCCAGGAACCAGGAGGCTGGAACTGAAGCAGAGGCCACGGAGGAACACTGGTAACTGGCGTCCTCCTCATAGCTTGCTCAGTGTATTTTCCTCTACCCCCCAGGCCCACATCAATCATTAATTAATAAAGTGCCCCACAGACTTGCCTACAGGCCAATCTGATGGAGGCATTTTCATAAGTGTGGTTTCTTCCTCCCAGATAAACCAGTTCATGCTGGGTTGACAAAAAACCAGCACAGGTTCTTGACTTCTGAGTATTAATCAGAAAGCCCTCAAGCTGGACTTCACCCTGCACCCACCGTCACCAGCAACTGCCCATAATTACTATAGAAAGATGTCTAGGTATGAGGCCCAGCCTGGTAGGATTTATAACTAAAGAACATTCAACAACAAGAGTAAACTTTCGTGTAAGAGATAGGCTTTAGGTGACAATGATTATCTGTTTACTGTTCACTGTAACAAAATACCCCACTGTGGGGCTGGTGTCGATATTAACAAGATATGAATGTGAAAGTACTGGTCCACATGAGGACTCTCTTACCTTTTGTATAATTTATCATTTTGATTTAACCCCAGCACTCAAGAGGCAGAGGCAGGAGGATTTCTGTGAGTTTGAGGTTACCCTCCTTTACATAATGAGTTCCAAAGTTACAGAGTTACAAAGTGAGACCCTGTCTCAGACAGAACAGAACAAAAGTCTTCAGGTGGCTGTGAGGTTCCTGTCTGCAACTTTAGCTCCTATATTTTATTCTTCAAGATTCTTGGGTCTAACTCTCCGGGGGATCTTGGAGGCTGTCTGCTAGCCCAGTATCAGTGTGGGTTCTGTTGTGTTTGGTTTTGAGACGGTCTCACCTAGTTCAGACTAGCCTCTAAAACGTGCTATGCATAGCTAGAGATGACCCTGAACTCCTAATTCCCCTGCCTCTACTTCTGGAATGCTGGGGTAACAAGCATGCATTGATTCTCCACTCAGTCTGGGTCTTCCAGCCTCTATCCCAGAAGCCAGGACTCCAAATGTGGCTGACATTATACGTGATCTCAGAAGGAACGCAGGCTTTGGCGTGGCTCCTGTGCAAGCATAGCTAAGGAGACAAGTCTGGGGAAACAGTTGAAGTCAAGAGTGGCCAGAAAAAATTTGGCTGCTCTGGAGAACACAGGAGCTCCGGCTATATTTAAACTCTGAGTCACATGACTTGGGCAGGAGTAAAACATGTTTTCTTTTAAATGATTAAACTGAGTTGAACTTCGTTCAAGAAAAGTTTCTTTCCCTCTGAGTTTTTTTCCCCCAGGCTCGAAGAGTTTCAAGATGAGATTTGTTTTCATAACAGGAAAACTTAGGTCAGTAATCTTTAACCTAGACAGGTGTATGCACTTTGAATGCCCCCATGTCATCAAGTCATGCATTTGGCCCATCCGTGACATCTGGATGACCAAGAAATCCCATTAAAAAAGTGAAAAGGAAGGCTGCTGTAAACACTTGCTCCTCTCTAGTTCTCTTGGTGATACAAGCACACCGACATAGATTTGGTCTCATGCTCATCCCACTGCCGTGGGCATAGGTCTTCAACGTTTACCCCTGCGGTGATGAAAACAGTAAAATTTCATCCCACAGTTGGGAGAGGTTAGCCCAAAATTCCACCTTCACAATGGGTCTGCCAGTATGGATCAGGGTTATTGGCAAGTCAAACCCAGAGAAAGCTAAACTCAGGTTAGTTAATTCAGCCTGCCTTGGAAGGTGCTGGAAGGGAAGCAGGGAAAGAACCCGCCTGTGGTGAGGACTCAGACTCCAGAGTTGGGACCTCTCCTACTGTTAGATGACATTAGTTTACTTAAAAATAAGAGCCTTGTTCATTTTAAGTAGCCAGTGACCAAAGGCTAGAATTATGATCAGTAAGTAGCCCTCTTGCCCGCCCCTCTCTACAGACACACTTAGGAGGAGGCATTGTTTTCATTTTTCTTCATTTAAATATCTTTTGTTTCCCTAAAACGATCACTGTTGGGGGCCAGAAGTTCCAGAGATTAGTCTGGGGTGTGTGTGTGTGTGTGTGTGTGTGTGTGTGTGTGTGTGTGAGAGGGGGGGGGGGAGAGCGCGAGCGCCTGCTGGTGGGTGTGTGCCTTGATTCTAGCAGGGTCCCATTCCCTCCTGTTCTGTCTGAGGTGACTGCCTTGTCTGAGGCAATGTAAACGTGAGGAGGCCACTGAGTGGCAGGCTGGTTACTAGTTCCACTAAAATATTTCTGCTTCCTTTCCGAGGCTCTGAGAGATGAAAAAACCCGTCTGCTCCTCTAGACTCTACAGGAGCCAGGCTAAGTCATCCGTAGGCTTTCTCCAGTACAGTAACAGCCTCCAGGTAAGCGCCCCACAGAAGCACCAATCAGCCGAGCAGTGTCGCCCCAGGCCTGTAGGAGCCTTAGCGGTGACAGCTTTAGTAACCAGACCTATACCGGAAGAAAAGGAAGCCAGAGCCTGCGGCGAACCGGCTAGAGGGGCCCCCATCGGAGGCCAGGCAAGGGTGAGAAGGAAGATCGTGTCTCGACCTCGAAATTCACCCTGTCCCGCCCCGCGGTCGCTCCTTCCACCACCCAACCGCCCCAGGTTCCGGCGCAGCCTTCCCTCCCAGGTTCATGCGCCCACCCTGGAGATTTAGCTCCCAGCCCGGAGTCTCTGCCCAGGGACACGCCTCTCCGCCGGCCCCGCCCAGGACCCGGGTACACGCCTCTCACCCCGCGCTCCGGCTGGCCACCCCGAAGCGCTGCCTCCCCTGGACATTCTCTCGCTCTCACCCATCCCTGGTTCTCCTTTCCTGCCCCCACCCCCGCCCTCTTTGCCTCCGCTCCAGACCTCTACCCAGCGACCCCCTCTCCCCCCACACTGCCCTCCAGTCCTGACCCCCGATGTTCCCCTGCCCCCGGCCTTCGTCTCTGCGGCAAGCGTTCCAGTCTTTCACCCCAGCCCTCTTCATCTGGTCCCCTGCTCCCCTCGCCCCCAACATTACTCCCACCCATGCTCCGTGAGGCTCCCCCAAACTTTCCCAAGCTGACCCTCACACCCTGATTTCCCTCCCATCGATCCACCTACCCCGCGCCCTTTAAGGCTCCGGTCCAACGCTCTCCCGGTTCTGCCTCCCTCCGGCACCACTCCATCCCGACCTCCCACCTCCTGAGGGTCTGTGGGCCAGGCACCCCCACCCTCGCCTCCTCCCTCTGGGATCACCTTCCTCATTTTCTTTCCGTCTCAGGCGCTCCCCCCGCCCCACCGCGTCCTTCATCTCCACCACCCCACCCCGCGAAGCTACCCCCTACCCCCTCACTTTCCCCCTGAGAATCCCATCTCCCCCATCACATCCCGTCTCCCAGCTCACCCTTGCCTCCCGGTTTCTCCCAGCCCCGCGGCCCTCGTGCCCCCCCCCCCCCCCCCTTCAGTCCTCCCGGATCCCCCCTCGCTGCTCCCCCGCCCCGTCCGGCCCGCCGCGCTCCCGCCCTGGTCCGGCCTGGCTCCCGGCTGCGCGCTCCGGCCCGGGTGCGCGCCATGGGCAGCGGCAGCAGCCGGAGCGGCCGGGTCCCGAGGCGGCGGCGCAGCCCCGACCGGCGCCAGGCGGGCCCGGGAGAGACGGTCTCGGAGGGCGGCACGGCTGAGCAGGCCGGGGCGGCCGCGGCGCCGGAGGAGACCCGCCATGACCCCCGCCCCGCGACGCCCCCCGGCGGCCGAGAGGAGACCCTGCGCCTGCTGGACCAGTTGCTGGCTGAGTCGGAGGCCTGGGGGGCCCAGGAGCCGACCCCGCGGAGCCCCGCCCGGCTCGCGCCCGCGGTGAGTGTGAGCGCCTGTCCCTCCGCTCATCCATCCGCACCCCCAGTGTCTCCCCACCCAGGCCTCCCTCCCTCCTCGGCGCCTCTGTCCCCAACTCACCCTGAGTGCCTGCCCCGGTCCGTCCTGGGGCGTTGTGTCCGTTCCGTACCCCCACCCCTGCATACTCTCACTCTGCCTCCTGGGTGGGTGCCCGCTACTGTCTCTCTTTCGGGGTGACTTACAGAGACAGTCTTAAAGGAGCAAGTACAAGCACTTGGCAGAAGCATCTAGAACTTTTCTTCTGGCCCAGGGCTCGCCTTCCCTTCCCAGCGGGGCTGCATGCAATCCAGCTGCAGCATCTCTGCAACCCAGGTGGGAATTGACCAGCGGGGCCTCCGCCTTGGCCAAGGGGACGCGGTGGAAGGAGGCGATAAGTAGATGCATCACCTGCAAAACAGTGGTTGGAAAACGCCCTGCCGAGTCGGACACTTCCGGATCTTTGGCTGGCCAGGCAATTCCCATATTGCAAGCTATTTTTAAAGATGCTCTGATTCTTTTAGCTTCCTTATTCTCTCTTGCTGAACACTTGTAATAACAACCCCGCTGTTCTAGAAAAATAATGAAAAACCAAAGCTCTGGTTTGGCACGTCTTTGCTGCTGAGAACGGGTCTTAGCGGCTCCTGGCTAGAGAGGAGGCCAAAAGGCAGGAGGCTTCCTTGCCTGCCAGCAGCGGTGGAGGGAAAGTCTTCCTGGGCCTGGATATCAGGCCAGCATCATGGAAAGGCCACTGGGACGGTGGGAAAGCCCCGTGCGGCGCTCTCTCTGTCCCATCCCTCCTCCCCACTGCCCTGTTGGAGTTTATAACAGGACAAATGAGCTTTAGTGAGGACTGAATTATATAATGGGATTCCTCTAAGACTACATCAGCCTGCAGTTATGTAACGCCAACACTGAACAAAACAGTCTAGGGATTTGGGGGAGAGTTTGACAGAGCAAGGAAACAATTTTTCACTGTCATTTTCAAGCTCTTGGGAAACTTCAAAGATTCGGAAATGAATGGATTTTCCCCCTCTATCTTGCTGAGTCTCAGCCTGGAAGAACATCATAGACACAGGAAGTCCCAGACAGGGGGAAGACAAGCCCAAAGTTCAAGTGTAGAAGGCACTGCTGAGAAGTCAGTCTGCGGGTCTACAGGAGCGAGAGACAGGCAAGCTGCAAGGGACCTGGGCAGAGCTGAAGAGTTGAAGAAGAGGGGCTCTGTGCCCAGCGATGCTGGTGGGTAGGGTTAGGTTAGCCGGAGTGTAGGCGGAAAAGGTCTTCAGCATCTCTGTCTTGCTGTGTCAGGGGGTGTAGACTCTATTGAGAATGAGTGGGCATTTGAAGGTGGAAGAGAGCGAGAATTTTGTGTTGTTGGAGAGTTTACTCAACAGCGGGAGGAAGGGGGACTCGGACAGAAGCAAGCCTGGGGCACTGTGATCCACCAGGGCTACTCCTCCTGTCCAGCTGACCAAGTCCTAGACCCAATCGGTAGCAGAGACAGGTGTGAAGAGGTGGGTTTAAGAAATAAATGGTGGTCAGGCAGTGGTGGTGCTCGCCTTTAATCCCATCTCTGGGGAGGCAGAGGCAGGTGGATCTCTGTGAGTTTGAGGCCAGCCTGGACTACAGAATGAGTTCTAGGACAGCCAAGGCTCCACAAACAAAACAAAACAAAACAAAACAAAACAAAAACTGTCTTGAGAAAAAAAGAAGTGTGAAGGCAGAGCAGTGGTTACTCTTGGAGGGGGGGCTCAGGTGTGTTCTCTGTAACATGAATGTTTGTCAGACTAAGGAAGGCATCCCAGAGTCCTAACGGAGTGTTCAGGTCCAGACAGACAGTCAGAAAGTGAGACCCTGCTTTTAAAAACGCTGGACATGCTGGAACTCGGCGTTCAAGCGGATGTGCTATGTAGCTTCCCCGAATCTGTAACCGATTCCCTGGGGGCTCCTCATCTCACGGGACTCACCGCCGAGACAGAAAAGAATCCCACGGTCAAGAATCATCCATGGAAGGAGGCCTTCCTTCAAAATGTTTCAGAGGGTGTCTCCTCAAGCAAAAAGGACCCATTGACTGGGCATGAATACACTATTCCTATTTCTTTCTTAGGAAGGAAAGAAGAAAAAAATTCTTTATATTTATAACCCTCTAACCCTTAGGAAAAGTTTTTTATTTTTCATTTGAAAAATAGTTATTTGTTTTCTGTGCATCAGTGTCTTTACTTGTATGTATGTCTATCTGTGTGAGGGTGTTGGCTCCCCTGGAACTGGAGTTACAGACCATTGTGAGCTGCCATGTGGGTGCTGGGAACTGAACCCAGGACCTCTGAATGAGCAGACAGTGCTCTAAACCACTGAACCATCTCTCCAGCCCTCTCTTTTTTTAAACTTTTGTTTTGTTTTTTTTGAGACAGGGTTTCTCTGTGTAGCCTTGGCTGTCCTGGATTCGCTTTGTAGACCAGGCTGTCCTCGAGCTCAAACTCACAGAGATCCACCTGCCTCTGCTTCCCAGAGTGCTGGGATTACAGGTGTGCACCACCGAGCCTAGCTTCTCTCTCTCTTTCTCTTGTTTTAGATAGGAGAACGTCAAGATTAAGTGAAAACCCCTTCGAGGGCCTTCATTTAAACACTCTTTAAACACTAGGCTAAGCAGGTCCTGCTCAGCAGTGAGGGGCTTGCCTAGCATGTTCAAGGCCTTGCCTCTGAACCTTCACTCCACAAGAAAACAAAACACAAAAAACAGCCACCGTTGATTGGGTACTGATCATGAATATCCCGGAACCATCATCCTGAACATGATGTTACATGGGATATTGTTGTTATTATTATTATTATTTTACTTTTTATTGATTCTTTGTGAATTTCACATCCTGCACCCCAGTCCCACTCATCTCCCTGACGATGTCCATCCTCCACCCTTGGAACCCTCCCCCAAAACAAACATCTTGTCGTTGAAGCTGGAGCATGTCACAACGTGCCGTATAATATACCCCTTTTTCTGAACATCTTTACTTGCAAATGTTCACTGCAATGAGTCCTGGGTCTGGTTCGAGGCCTCTGGCTTCTGCTACACCATCCATGCTGGATCCTCGCCAGACTCCTCTGATATGCTGCTGCTGCCCTGTGTCATGAGATCCTGCAGCTTTGGCTCTGCACCTGCCCCTTCACATGCTCCAGCAGTCCACACATGGGGTAGATGTTAGGGCGACCAGTTCAAAGCCCTGGATCTGGGCCTGGGTGGTAGCTGAGTTGGTCAGCTCACCAGGTCTCCCAGACCCTATACTGGAGGTTATTTAAAGACAAACAAACAAACAAAAAAACCAGTTCTAGAGGGCCAAAGGGATGGCTTGGTGGTTCTGAGTTATTCCTGGCTTTCAGAAGACCTGAGTTGAGTTCCCATCACCCACAACAGGCCACTCACATTTCCCGGAACTCCCTCCAAGGCCGTGGTTTTCAACCCTCCTAATGCTTCAACTCTTTAATATAGTTCCTCATGCTGTGGTAAATCCCAACCATAAAATTATTTCATAACTGTAATTTTGCTACTCTTATGAATTGTAATGTAAATATTTGATACGCAGGATGTTGATATGACGCCTGTGAAAGGGTCATTTGACCCCCAGAGAGGGCGTGACCACAGGTTGAGGACCACGGCTCCCAGGGCTCTGATGCCACCTTCTGGCCTCAGAGGGTACTGTATTCTGCTCAGATCCAGAGACAGGCACAAATAATTTAAAAAATAACATACAGTTTTAACTAATATTTTAATGAGTACTTAAGTATCAGTCATATTAATTCTTTCCATGTTCACCCGTATTTTTACTTTATTTAATTTTTAAAGGCATAATAATTGTATTTATTTATGGAGTACAAGATCAAAAAAGGGCTTAGATTACAGGTGTGTTCCACCGTGCCTAGCAATTCAAACAGTTTTTGAGGCTGGATTTATTTGTTATGTTTTGGCTTTGCCAAATTGAGAGTTATAAGAAAAATTGAAGGTAAGGCTAATCTTATGAACTCTTATCTTATTTATGTGTACCTGTGTGTATGTGTGATTCCATTTTGATTTGTTCTACTTAACCATCTCATAAACATGATTTCCCCATATGGCATTCTTACATATTTTCAGGGATGTGAGATAGTCCATCAGATTCCTGGCCTTTACGTCATGGACTCAACCCCCTCTCCGGGTACTGTTTTGGATTAATTTTTAATCTCATGACCACATGAAGTGCCCAAGGCCAAAATCCTTTCCCAGAGTCACAAGAACTTGAATATCAGTGGTATTATGTGGGATCTTAAAAACTTCAAACTCTGCACAGTGCAAAAACTGAGTAAACCTACAGGTTTGAATTAGTGTTTTTGTTTGTTTGTTTTGTTTTTTTCAAAACAGGGTTTCTCTGTATGACCTTGGCTGTCCTGGACTCACTTTGTAGACCAGGCTGGCCTCAAACTCATCTACCTCTCGTCCCTGAGTGCAGGGATTATGGGCGTACACCACCTCCCCTTTAGTAATTCTGAAGGACAGTCGGTGGTCTCTTCCTGGGTAAAATGAGCCACGTATTACCGATTCATCTATGGAGGGTAGGGTCAGGGAACTGAAGTGTCCCCTCACCTTTTCAGATGTTTGTCACGGTGCCATGCTGGGGAAGGGTCACTGGACCATCGCAGTCTCAGAGTAGGCTGCACTGCTGACATTGGAGAGCACTTTTAGAGAAGCAGTCGGTTCAGAACCCAAACCATTCAGTCAGTGCTTTCAGGGCTGGGTAGCAACGTTACCTTCCTCCTCTGCCTTGTAAACCCAGGTCAGTGGTGACCTAGGGAAGCCACGGAGAGGACTGCTGCCACTGCGAGAGAGGGAAAGAGAGAGAGAGAGAGAGAGAGAGAGAGAGAGAGAGTGGTTTAAATACTCACAAGCCTGTGATGAAGAGGGATACCTTCTCCTGGGCCTGAATGACATCCTGCCTGCCTGCTTTCGAAAAGTTCTGGATTTGCCGTAGCCAAGGGGGAGGGGATGGGGGGAGTCTTGTTGGCTGCCACCAGCCAAGACTTGAGGGTGATGATCATGGCTTTCACTGTTGTAAAATCTTAGAGGAGGAAGCCGTAGAAAGGAGCTCACAGCTGCACAGTAGACTCACCAGAAGGACTTGAAGATGCTGGGCTCAGCAAAAATGAAACAAAGAGGGTTACTCTGTATAGCCTTGGCTGTCCTGGACTCGCTTTGTAAACTAGGCTGGCCTCGAACTCAGAGATTTGCCTGTCTCTGCCTCTTTGAGTGCTGGGATTAAAGGCGTGCACCACTGTGCCCACCAGAAACAATTTTATTTTTATTTTTTTTAAGATTTATTTATTTATTTTATGTATATGAGTGACAGACAAGGGCACCAGATCATTTTATAGAAGGTTGTGAGCCACCATGTGGTTACTGGGAATTGAACTCAGGACCTACGGAAGAGCAAACAGTGCTCTTAACCACTGAGCCATCTCTCCAGCCCCCAGAAACAATTTTAAATGGAAAGAAAACCGAAGGGCAAATCCTCCTCTGCGATCTTGGAGGCAGGATCCTGAAAGATCAACCGTAAGATACTAGGAATAAGATTTTAAGAAGCCAGATGTGCTAGGAGTGGGGAGGCCCAGATGGCCTTGCTCCCTCCATGGGGTCCCAGCTCTGTTAGGGTCCGGAATGAAAGCTCATGTGCCTCACTTGCTATTGGCATCTAGTGGTGGTTATGAAGGGTTGGAGCTCTCTGGGAAGCCACAAGGGACATCTCCCAAGAGGCTACCCCAACCCTGACCGCCAGGCTGGAGGACCAGTGCCCTCTGGCGGTGAAGAGCAGAGCCTGACTGGCAAAATCCTGAAAACTTCCCCCTGGTGGGTTAGGTACTGGAGGTCCCTTGACGCGTTTCTGTCTGTAATGTGTTCAAGTTTCCACAGTAAACAAGCAAACAAGCAAACAAACAAACAAATAAATATTAAAAACCAACCAAGCCAACCAAGCTAGGATTCAGAGGAAGATAATTCGTAAAGAAGGCAACACGTGAGCACTCGGGAGTGAACATGAATGCATCTGACAGCATGGGTGGACCTCACCATCCCTGCGCCCAGGGGAAGGTGCCAGGTGGCAAGGAGCACACGCTGAGTGCTGGGGGAGGGGCATGGAAGGAGGGCGGAAGCAGGAGCAGGGGTGAGGACATGCCTGTGTATGAGGGAGTCGCTGCGACATTGCTTATGCCCCCGGGTGTGAATGCATATCTACCCGTGTCCATTCAGAATGAATGAAGTCGTGTTCTTCAACCATCTGCAGTGTCGGATATCAATTGTATATATACTAGATTTGTGCACAGGTACACATTATACACACAAAGCTGCTCAATAGCAGGATGCATTTGGAAAAGTGAAGTAGGCAGTAAATAGTAGCCTTTGAAACCTTACACACAGGTGTACACATATATACGTATATATATATATATATATATAATGCACCCTTACAAATAAACATACACACTTGTAAGAGTCAAAGGAGACTCTTAGAGTCTTAGAGTCAGAGAGAGGAGTCCTTTTCAGCTCCTCAGGTTTTCTGTTTCTTGCATGGCTGTGCCGCTTTTCTAACGACTTCCTGGGATGATGAGGGGAGGTATGCCTTCTCCTACCCCAGGGTGGACACTGACAAACACACACACACCTTGACCTTAGCACAGTCCCCAAGGCCCCAGCGCGGGCTCTGGTTGGTCCAGATGTGAGTGTGAGCAGCTGGTAGCCGGCATCCAGTGGGCTGGAGCAGGAGGCTCCAAGCTCCTGGCTTTGTCAGGCTGCGTGTTCCAGGAGGGAGCTAATGCACTTCCCATCTGTGAAGGCCAAGTTCAAGGTTTAAACAAACTGGCAGGAGAAAGTGCCATGTATGAAAGCACAGGCACAGAGAGACAGAGGTGGACACTGTACAGATGGGACAAGTGGAAGCCATGAGGGAAACAGCCAGAGCGTGCTTCTTCTGCTCCCACTTCTAAGGGCACAGTTCTCCTGGCGATAGGGTTTTGTTCCAGCTGCCTCCGGGGAAGGTTGTGACCCCATTATCATCAAGCACATATTTCTCTGAGAGGCCAGGTCCAGGGGTGGATGTTGATGCTGGAATCCATCTTGGAGCTTGTCACCTGCCTCCTCATAGAAACCATAACAAACCTTAAATTCCTAATGCGAGGAGAAGACTTAGAGCAGATGACAGCAAAAGCTGACTCCAACAGAAACAGAACTGAAGAAATAGGTGTCCACGCAAGAGGACTTCATTGGAGGGAAAAAACAAAAACAAAAATGGCTGCAGGATGGTTAAGTAAAACTTACTGAAAGCTCTAGGGAGGCAGACTGGTGTGAATGTGAGAAAGAAACCTCCTGAACACCCGGAAGGATGGACTTTCAGCAGAAGGTGAGGCCCAGATTAAAGGTGTTTCTTCCCCGGTCTACAGAGCTAGTTCTAGGACAGCCAAGCCTACACGAAGAAACCTGTTGTCATTGAAAAACTAAAACAACAAAAAAGGTGTGTCTTCTCGACTCAAGATCCAGATCAAAGGCAGCACAAGATCCAGATCAAAGGTCCAGACGGAAAGTGGATTGGCCCACTTCAAACCAAGCAAAAAAGTCTCTCACGGGTGTGCCCTCCATTTCTGGACTGTAGTTCTTTCTAGATGTAGTCAGGTTGACAACCAAAAGTAGCCATCACAACCACTGAGCCACCAACCCCTAGCTAGATGTAAAAAAGAAAACCCAAATGATTTAAAATATCCTTCCTGGAGGCTTTGAGAAGGTCAGTGAGCAGAGTGCCTGCTGTGCGAACAGGGGACCTGAGTTCGGATCCCCAGCGTCCATGTAAAATCCGGGTATGGTGACACGCACCTAGAACTTAATTCTCTAGTGACTGAGACGGGGGTCCTGGAGCTCAGTGGCCTGCTAGTTATCGGCTCTTTGAGCTCTGGGTTTAGGGAGAGACCCTTGACTTCAGCCTGTCCTGTCCCTGGAGGCACACACATGCCGCATACACACTGCACCCCTATCCACACACGTACACATGTACACACACACACATTTCCCCCAGAAAAGGTAAGGGTTGATACACTGAATATCTGAATGGTTTTTTTAGTTTATTCTGATGGATTCTAGAAATAGAGTTATGAATTCACAACAGCTCTCACGTCCTTGGCGCTTTCTGACTGTCTCCAGGCCACCACTGAGCAGCCTACTGCTCTCTTACCCACCTCATTCTTAACTCCAGGGGACCAGTCTTTACCTGAGCCTTTGGCCCTAGACATTTTTTAGGGTCCCCCCCCCTTATCTTTGTATCACTGTTCCTTCAAGCTGTTACAACAAAATGCTTTAGGCTAGGTTATTAAGCAACGTAAGTATTGCTCACAGTTGCTTTTCTAAAGATATTGTTTTAGTTGTTTAAATAAACATACAAATATATACTGAGACAGGTTCTCTCTCTCTTTTTTTAAAAAAAGATTTTATCTATTATGTATACAATGTTTTGTCTGTATGTACACCTGCATGCCAGAAGAGGGCACTAGATCTCATCATAGATCTGTGAGCCACTATGTAGTTGCTGGGAACTGAACTCAGGACCTCTAGGAACAGTAGCCAGGTGCCCGTAACCCCTGAGCCATCTCCCCAGCCCCCAAGTTCTTCTTCTTAAGCCAAGGCTGGCTTGAAAATTAAAGCATTCCTCCTGCCTCAGCCTCCAAATGCTGGGATTACAGGTGTGTGCCCAGGTTAAACGTGAATCCTTAATGAATACTTGCTGAAGGGAGGGCACAAGGCTCTTGAGGGTGGGTGAGATTATCCTGGAGGTGGGAACTCGATGGTCTCAGGCTAGGAACATTGGGACACTGATGTCTGGAGGTGAGAGACAGAATGCACCCATAACAGGTAGTAGGTGGGAAGCAATGAGATATGACCTCAGCACCGCTGTTTCCTTTATTATTTGTTTGTTTCTCTATCTATGCGTTTTATAAGTCTCTCCCACAGCCTCAGTTTTCTTGACTGCAAAATGGGTAACTGGGGCTCCAGAGCTGGAGGGAGGCTTCCCCATTCTCATGTTTATAGACCCTGTGTTAAACATGGTGGCTGTTGTCTCTCCCATAAAGCTGGGGTGTTAATCCATTACACTGTTAACAATTCTTTTGATGCTTTTTCCTGTCTTCCTCCTCAAGGTGTCCCCTGAAAACAAGATTAAGGACAACCCTGAAGACCACTGTGCCTCTGAGTAAGTATAGGGAGGAGATCCATGTCCTCTGGAAGCCTGAAGTGCTTCAGCTCCAGCTGCTTAGAGTCCTCCAATCCCCACCTTCTCACAAGACAGAGAGGCCCTCAGCGTGGAGAGCTGCGCCCTCAAGCGGAGCCAGGGGCGCTGCAGAGCCTAGTCATGGTAGCTCTGACCTGCCTTCCTGGCTTGCTTGCTTGCTCCCTCCCTTCCCCCTTTCTTTCCTCCTAAATGACCTGGTTTCTCCGTGGCCATTCTAGACTCTTCAGGGCCATTCTAGACTGTTCAGATATACTCAGGTGCCCTGCTATATCCAGTGTTTTTTATCTGTAAGGCTGTCCTTTGCTGTAAGGACTTGCTTCACAGCCTAGATGGTGACATTACCACCTGTTGCTCCAAAACAGTCATCAGGAAAATGCACTTAAAACTCCTGATGTCAGGTTGGTCTCTCAGCAGTGGGGAGGCAGAGGCAGGGGGGCAGGGGGGCAGAGGGGCAGAGGCAGAGACAGTTTCAAGCCAGCCTGGTCTATATAGCAGGTTCCAGGCTAGCCAGGGCTACACAATGAGACACCGTTTGAAACAAGCAAACAAACCATAACATTAACAAACCTTACCCCAAACTCTGCAAGTGATGTCTGGGGGCCCTGGACTCTTCCTTTAAAACTCCTCAGGGGGCTGGGAATGCAGTCCAGCAACAGAGTGCTTGCCTTGCATGTGCAATGCTACAGAGATAAAATGGGGGAGGCAGCCAGCCACCTCGATAGGTAAACACACTTGCCACCAAGTCTGACAACCTAAGTTCAGTCTCCAGAGCCCACACGATGGAAGGGAAGAACCTAACCTCTGGCCGCTGTCCTCTGTGCACGCCATGGTACCAGCGCATACACACATATGCACATACCCACACGAACACTGGTCAGTAGAGGCTCCCGAGGGATGAGCAGGAAGGGAAGCCACTTCCATTGTTCCAGGCCTGCAAGGCTGCAAACCGCTCACAAGCAGCTGTTCCTGGGCAGCCCCTCCTAAGTGTTCATCTCTGTACTAGACACAGGTCTGTCTTGGGATGCAGTCCTTCCTTCTTACAGAGACTGGGGCAAGGGACACAACTGGTCTAGGGACCCACGGCTACTGTGCATCAAAGCTGGCTGAGATCTGCCCTCCTCCAAGGCATTTGGATGCTCCCCTTTGCCCCGTAGACACTGTAGGAAAGGCAAATGCTTTGGCAGCAGGCAGATCTGCAAGCAGATATACCCCCATCCTGGATGCTCTTCTTGGAGGGTCAGCCAGGAACCTCGGTGGGCCTTGTCCTGCCTCACCCCCATTGCAGGTCTTGGTGGATAAAGTCAGAGCATGAGGGTAGATATGAGTGGAGATGATCTTGTCTTTGTGTTGGGTAGGGAAGACTGGGATGTCTCCAGAGCAGAGGTTTTTGCTTTGGATGTTAGGATGGACCACTTAAAGACCACTGTGATTGCAGAGGAGATGGGGCTTTGAAGGTGCTATCCACTTTTGTCTGTGTTTCTCACCCACAGAGGCTCAGACAGCAGCCACAAGAGACCCGAGGCCATCTCCTATGATTACTCCGAAGAGGAGCTGATGGCGAGCATCGAGCAGGAGTACTGCCGCTGAGTTGATCAGCCCTGGCCACCACTGACCAGTCCTTGCAGGCCTGTGAGCTGGGCTAGAGTCAAAGGGTACCTTTCCCGACCTGTGACCCAGCCAGAGGGGAATCGCTTCTAGAATACAGCTATCTTTCCAAACTGATCTTTTTAAGATTCATAGTCAGAGTCCTGCCGCTGGCCCGGCAGACCAAGACTAAGGGCAAGCAGGTACCAGGCAGGCCGCAGGAGTGTGGGCACTTCCTCTCACTCTGAGGGGGAGCCTGGCTGGGCGGTTCCACCGGATTCTGAACCTCCTGTCCTTTCTACTTACTCATATTTCAGGTGGGGAAGGGTCAACCCCTCTTGGCACCTGTGCCACGGGCTTCTAGAAGGCTCCACCAAGTTATGTTCTTAGTCTCCACACTAAGACTTCTCCAGAGGGACGCAGTTAACTCCATATATGTCAGTTTCCACGTGCACACAAAGGGCAGGCAGATCCTGAGCGTGCAGGACTAGGCGAGTCCCGAGACTGCATTTCTAACAGCAAGGAGCTGCAGCTGCCAGGACTCAGGGCCTGAGTCTTGGACTTTCCCTTGGCTTCTCTCTTCCTCGTGCTGAAGGCTCCTCCGCACCACAGCACAGCAGCCTCCCCTGCTTGGATGTGGGAGGAAGAGAGAGGGCCACAGACTGCGGTGGTATCCCAAGGTCACATTAGCTTGTTCTCACTTTCCTCTTTGGGCCTGTTTCTCTCTGGGGGAGAATCCCAGAGGTTCCCTTTCAAGCCCTATCAGTCTGGCAGCGCTATCTTCTAGTCCTGCCATCTCCCAGCTGCCATTGTGCTTTACCCATCCTGCACTGGAGCAGAGAGAGCGAGCCCACATCTGGACAGGGTTTCATGGCAACTGCTTTCGTTTCCCTTTTGGCTGGCAGGCTGCTTGACGCCATGACCCTTTTTTCCTCCTCCCTGCTTAGGTGGAAGGCAGTCAGGCTGGCTGACGCCATGACCCTCTTTTCCTCCTCCCTGCTTGGGTGAAAGGCAGTCACAATAATGATGCCAAATTTCAAACGTTCCCAGTCAACCAATTGGGAAATATAGAGAGCCTGTGGGGAGGAGGGAAGGCCTGTGAGGGTCCTGTACGGCCTGGGTCTTGCTCAGGAAGCACCCGAACAGCTGGCAGAAAGGGCTCACGGATCTCTGAGTGGCACAAGCCTACACCTCAGCAAACCTCAGGCCAATGCTGCAGGGTTATCGAGAGCTTAAGGCCTGGCCTGTGTAGTGAGAGTCTGTGTCTGAAAAGGGAATGAGGAAACGGTGGCAGCTTTTGCTGAGGTCAGAGGTCTCAGCTTATGCTGCATCCCTGCCACCCGACCAAGACAGAGGCCTCCCTCAGCACCCTCCCTCACCTGAGAACAGCCCACGAGTCCTCACAGCACAACCAGGAGAATCTCAGGAACCAAGGAGGAAGGGTCCCTGGGACCATCCCCACATCCACATCCATTCGCTGTCACCTGCGAATGATTCCATGAACTCGTATGACTCGACAAACGTGCCTGTGCGTTCGCAGCTGGGAGACTTGTGTTACTTTCAGAGCCCACAGCCACGGGGTGTCTACCAATCAGCTGAGCGCTGGGCCAAAACCTCCCGAGCTGGCGACTGTCTCACCGAAGCTCAAAGCACTGCTTTTAATATAGGAAAATGAAAGCTGTTTCTATTTTAATAACACAAATATTGCAAATGCTTATTTTAAAAGAGGTTAAAAATATTATGTTTTTACCCAAGGATGGATGAGGCTTTGAATTTGATGGTGTAAATGTTTACAGCTTTATGTGTTGTGTTCGAAGAGGCACATTCATCTGATTAAGAGAAAGATAGGGGATAAAAAGAAAGCCAGGAGCTGTGCATTTCCTGGGAATCCCTTAATAAGATCAAGGTGCTAAGACAGACAAACAAACAAAGAAAATTGCACAGTAGTTAATGCTCATCAATTTGAAGATGAGTGCAAGCCACTGCCATTGTTCTCAGATCTAAAAAAAAAAAGGCCTGAATTCCAGAAAAGAACCTACTGAGCAGTGGCTCGACAGACCAAGTGTGTGCCAACTGGTGAGCTGTGGTCCTGGGAAAGTCAGGCTCTGGAGAGGCTGGTCCTGTAAGAGATGGGGCTGGGTACCACTGCCGCCCATGGGAGCCCTTCCTGCACCGCCCAGGTGCAAGGTTCCCACCCATGTCCCATACTGCACAGCCGCTTCGTGGTTGGCTATCCATGTTGTTTTCCCAGCCATGTGCCCAGCTCTAAGCAGTGTGGGATCGAAGCCCAGCCACAGCATGAGCTGACCCTGGTTCCCATGAGGGAAAGTCTAAGTAAGTACCGATGGCCACTGGCTCTGCAGCAGATCTCCCCCAGATGTGTGAATGCTGTGGTTGAGGAAACCTGAGCCCTTGTGGTCAGAAATCACAGGTAGGCTGTGTGGACCCAGGAGTGGAGCTTTGAGAAGCTCCCAGACCTCTGCTCATGGGGTTTTGGGCCAGCTTGGCATGGACTACTCCTACCAGCATGGATGGCAAAACTGCCTGGGACAAGTTCTTAGCATCCTCTTTTTTCATGTTCCAAAACCCCAGAGCTACTTCATTTCCTGGAATGATGCCCAGGACCTTGTCTAGGAGTCCCTCCCTGATAGGTTCTGAGATTCATAAATAGAGGTCACTGTCCTCCTGGCAGAGTTTCCCTCCTCCCTGGGTTGTAATCTGGCGACCAGGAGTCTATCAGCAGTAGCCAGGCCAGCTGTTGAGTATTTTTCCTCCTGTCAAGAGTTGGGCAGAGCTTTGTGTAGTTGTGCACACCTTTAAATCCCAGCACTCTAGAGGCAGAGGCAGGTGGATCTCTGATTTACAGAGCAAGCTCCAGGATAGCCAGAGCTACACAGAGAAACCCTGTTCCAAAAACAAAGAGTTGGGGAGAAATAAAATGTAATGATTTTTTCTTTCAGGGCCAAGGAGATGGCTCGGCCGCCAAGCCTGACAACTTGAGTTCCATGCCTAGGGCCCAATGGTAGGAGGGAAAGAACCAACTCCTGAAGGCTGTCATCTGACTCCCACATGCATGGACGTCATGGCATGCATGCACCCACACCACATACACTCTCTCTCCTGCCTCTCTTTCCCTGGGGCTCAGATAGGAACGGTTTTCCGACTTCTGTCTTTCAGAAGACGAATGGTGGGGGCTCTTTCACAGAAGGGGTTCCTAAATCTAATCTTCCAGAGTCGTATGAAGACTGTGTGTAGTTAGTCACTGGACACAGTCAGGAAGGTGTTCTTGGGTGATTCTGAGCATCAAGAGCATAAACCACATCTTATTTTGAAGTATTTTATTACATTTTAATTTACTTTGTGTGCACACACACGCATGTGATTGTGTATCTGCGTGGGCAGTACATGGGTGCTCATGCTGTGGTGCATATGCGGAAGTCAGAGGACAATTTGCAGGAGCTGGTTCTCTTTCCACCATGTGGATTCTAGCAAGCAAACTGGTCCCCCAGGCTTGGTGATGGGCGCCTTTACCTAGTGAGCCGTCCTGCTGGCCTATAAATCACACATTAGACTCTGATAGGAAGGAAGCTCCATAATTAGGCCTTTTTTGGGGTTTGGCCTGGACCTTAGAGCAAACAGACTGAATCCCAGCACTGAGGAGGCAGAGGCAGGCAGATCTCTGAGTTCAACCTAGCCTGGTCTACAGAGTGCATTCCAGGGCAGCCAGGGCTACACAGAGGAACCCTTTGCAGTGCTGGCAAGGAAGAACTGTCTTTTCGAGGGCGTGGAGCCCTAGGAAAGACAAGCACTGGAGCCCCCAGAGGTAGTTGGTCCATGGCTTGTGGAACCTCAGGATGAGGCTCCACAGCAGACTGGAAGGGTGGGCCCTAAAACTGCACATCGAGAACCAGAAGCAACTGTGTGTGGTTGCTTGTGGTCCTACGGGCACTGGGTTGACTTCCCAAGGCCAGTTTCAACTCTCCACAGTGACACTGTGTGGTCATGAGAAGCAGTGGCAGCCTGGACATCAGCTCTGGCCCTGGGAGAGTCTGCAGTCCAGCTGGGGTAGCAGAGCATCCCACCCTTTCAGTGCACCGCCCCCACCAGAGGTTATGCTAACTCTTCGTGAAGGAGACTTGGAACAAGGGAAGGAGGGAGGGCAGCCCCTTTTCCATCAGCTGCCAGGAGAGCATCTGGGTGGGTGTGGAGAGTAAAACCCTGTTGATTCTTTCAGTTAATACCACACAGATGCAGGCTCTGTGCAGCCAGGTCCTGGATGAGTAAAACAAGAGAGGTGAGGTGGGTTATGTGTCCAAGAGGCATGGAGCAAGTCTTGACTGCTCACTAGGAAGGGTGGCTGCTGGACTCACACCCAGATGACCTAAGGTCAGTCTGTGTCTACAAGAGCCCAGGAGCAACAGGAGAGGCCTCAGCCTGCTCCCTAGCACATAGTCTCCAGGGCCTTGGCACCCATGTCTCCTGCCTCCCAAGGTTACTGTGGAGCCCTGAACGACGAATGTTCTGCATTGCACAGTCCAGCCAAGAAGTGGGGAGGGAGGACACACAGGGAATCTCGTCCTGACCCTCTGTGGACGGTTGGTACCCCTGGTGATAGATGCGAGTCTCTACCAGTCCGTCAGGCAAAAGCGGAGGAGCTGACTGCTGCTATTTTAATGTTGAAACTGCTACAACTTGGCAATCCTTATGGGCTCACTTCTTTGCCACCATACTGCTTCCCCTAAAACCGACTAGACCGCTCAAAATAAGAGTTCAAGTTAGGCCAGTACATGATGAATCTTCCAGACTCACAAGAAGATTGTGTGTAGCAAGTCACTGGACACAGTTACACAATACAGCACACAGGTGCAGTCTGCAAACCAAGAGCTTTATATGATTCAGAGAAAAGTTACATTACACATACTCATTTAAATAAGCCGAAGTCTGTTACAGAAAACATATGTAGGAAACATTTATATTTTCATTACTAAAACTACTGAAGGGCTCAACAAAGTAAAAAAAAAAAAAAATCAAATCAAGCTGAACTGCTCAAGCAATAAAGTGCACTGGGGGGGCAGGGCCACACCGCGGGGGGAGGAGAGGGCCCTCCAGGGAGCAGCCAGTTGCGGGGTTCTGGGGCT